TGGAGGAATAAGCTCAGAGGCTCAGTAAATGTTAGCTCTTGTCAGTGGTGGCAGCTGCAGCTATGGTTGGCTGAAGACTTGAACTTAGAAGCACAACAAAAATGAGAACAGTAACCGCCATGGAAAATAAAAGACAGTGTATGCGTCAATAGGACACCCCAAGAAATCTCTTTTAGCTGATGGTAATAAAGCATTCATGAATAGCTTAGGCTGGGTTGTACAGTGTTTGGGGAAGGCTGTTACAAAAAATAACTTTTTAATTTAAAAAAAGTCTGTTTTCCTAATACTCAAAATAGGCCTTCAGAGAGCTGCCACTGAAATATATTTCCCTAACAAAGTCCGTTTTATGTAAAACCTGGGTTGTAGTTTGTTTGCTTTTTTTTTTTTAACAAATGTGAGTTTGGGTTTGTTGTTGTTTTTACCGTTTCTGAACTTGTGATTGACTTTATTGCTGCAATAAAGTGACACAACAGAGGCTGACTCTGAAAAGGAGGGAGCATATTTTTTAAAGGGAGAAAAAACACTCCTTAGAGGGACTGCTTGGAGTTCAAGTTGAATCAGAGTGAAGCCATCCTTGGCTCTTCAGCTGTGAAGCTAGTGAGGCTTCAGCCTCCTGGAGGGAAGGCAGGACTTGCCCAAGGGTCTTACTCCTTCTGTCAGTGGTGCTTCTGCAGGAAAACCCTGGTTTGCTGCTGATATGGGGCTCACACCCGGGGACTTGATTGATCTGGTCTGGCTGGGGCCTGGGCTCCTGGATATCTGCTGCAGGGTTCCAAGGCCCACATTTTGCAGAACACCGCCAGCTGAGCCTCATCTAGGTTCTGAGGGCTCCACTGGAGGAGGGTCTAGGCAGGAACTGACCCCACTTCTGGCGGTGAGCGGTGTGGCCAGCCCATGGCCGGCTGTTTGTGCTGGGAGAACAGGCTTTGGCTCAGCCCATAGCCCTGAATCCGGCAGCCACTCTTTCGAGGAGCCCCAAAGCACACACTAAACCCATCAGTCAGCAGGAACGTTATCT